ATATATATATATATAGAGAGAGAGAGAGAGAGAGAGAGAGAGAGAGAGAGAGAGAGAGAGAGAGAGAGAGAGAGAGAGAGAGAGAGAGAGAGAGAGAGATAGAGATAGAGATAGAGATAGAGATAGAGATAGAGATAGAGATAGAGATAGAGAACGAGATAGATAGATAGATAGATAGATAGATAGATAGATAGATAGATAGATAGATAGATAGATAGATAGATAGATAAATAGATAGATAGATAGACGGACGGACGAACGGACGGACGAACGGACGGACAGACAGACAGACGGACGGACGGATGGGCGGACGGACAGACATACGGACGGATGGTTGGGCGGACGGACGGACTGACGGAGATAAGTCAACGTGGCAAACAGCTGACTGTATCAATATAGACGCGTCGTCTATTTACCTAACGTCCTCTTTCCCTCAAAGAAACCTTATCCCATAATGGCTCTTCGTTTTCCATCGGACACGCCGCTGCAGCACGGCCAACGACTGCTAGAGTATTTTTCGGCGGAGCAGCGCTAGCTTGAATCGAAAAAACATTACGAGGTTGTCGATAGTTGAATTACATGGTCGGGGTTATTGGTACCCGGAGACTTGTGTTACGTTTTGGGACGCTGACAACCAATATTTAAGATGCGAATGACATCAAGCAGAGCTATTGACAATTCACTGGTGCACTCGGCGAATTACCCTCTGACTTCAAAAGGAATGCGTCTGTATCGTTCTAACAGTATCAGGAGTTGGCCATGAAAAGTTTTTACGACAGCTACGTTTCATATACCAGTCAAAGCAATATCGCTGTGATCGCTCCTTCTCCTGAATATCGATCGCTCGTGTTGAAACAGTAACAATTAAACCGATAGCAAGTGCTCCCTATAACTAGCGCCCAGTAGCTTGATTTTCGAAGACTTATATACGGGGGCAAATGTACACGACGACGTGGTCGCTATCATAACTGTGTGTGTGTGTGTGTGGGGTGGGGGTGCGTGCGCGCGCGCGTGTGTGTGTGTGTGTGTGTGTGTGTGTGTGTCGGAGGGTGTGTGTGTTGGTGTGTGTGTGTTGGTGTGCGTGCGTGCGTGCGTGCGTGTGTATGTGTGTGTGCGTGTCGGAGAGATGTACGTGTATGGGGGAATCACGGTGACCTTTGTAAGTCGGTCTACGTAAAACGTCAGTCTGCACCAACCGTCACACACATCTCATATACACGAGTTGCCACCGCGCGCGACGTTCCCCCGTCCGTTCATTGCTGTCTGCAGCCTGTCATACTAAATTCCACGCCCGCACTATATTACCCGCCGCTGAGAATCGCAGTGCTTTGAGTCGGCCGGTCAGTGTAATATAGTCTGTCCGCATCTTTCTCGTATCGTCACTGCGTTGAGCGCTAATATGCGAGCAGCGATATCGTGTATGAACCACCAGCCGGCAGCCGGAGACCCATCTAACGAACGTTATGTGGAGGCGTGATGCGCATACTTCGTTCTCGCGAGAGAGAGAGAGAGGGGGAGGGAGAGAGGGGGAGGGAGAGGAGGAGAAGCGTGAGCGAGAGAGACCCAGCGAGCAAGAGTGAGAAAGAGAGAGCGAGAGAGAGAAAGAGAGAGAGCGAGAGAGAGAGAGAGCGAGCGCGAGAGAGAGCGCGAGAGCGAGAGCGAGAGAGAGCGCGAGAGCGAGAGAGCGAGAGAGCGAGAGAGCGAGAGAGCGAGAGAGCGAGAGAGCGAGAGCGAGAGAGCGCGAGAGCGAGAGAGAGCGAGAGAGAGCGAGAGCGAGAGAGCGCGAGAGCGAGAGAGCGCGAGAGCGAGAGAGAGAGAGAGAGATAGAGCGAGAGAGAGAGAGCGCAACGAGCACACTCGCGGCCAAAATCGTTAGATTGTACTGTATATGCGTTTTATTTTTGAAGCAAGGATTTCGAATAATTTTCGCTACCGTTCTCATATTTTCCCGCTCGGTTGCTTCTTGCATAACGGCAAGTGACTACAGTAAAGCTAGCATGTCTTCATACAGGCCCCGATATATATATCGATATATATATATATATAGTCTCCCACTGGGAGTTTATCGTTAGTTAGTACGTGTTTCTACCTGCACAGATATATAAACGCGCGCGTTATTTCTTCTTTCTCGGCAGGTTTTGTGAATGAATGAATGTTTGCGAAAGTGCAGCGTTAGCTGATTTGCGGTCATACGTCATGTTTTCGTTATAACGCCTGCGTATGTACCGAAAGTGGCAATAGCTTGTTCGTGCGCGTATTTATATCATTTACAAGTTTATACGTTTTGAATTTCGCGACGAGAACAAACGTTTTCATTCGTTCGTAGTCACAGCCACAGTAAGTGACAGCCTGCACATCAAGAACGACTGTAATTGTCTCTCCTGAACGAATGCAGAACCGCAGCGACGACCCGGAGGGCTGCGCCTACACGCGCCGCCGCCTCGCTCCCTCGTCTCATGCATGCGTGATTTACACAAATATTATATTAATTGACCAACATGCGTATAGGCCTACTACACGACTGCGAACTATGTCACAGGCTATCCCCCCCTGTGCCCCGCGTGCTGTGTGCAGGATGCTGTGTAAAGCGGGACGATCCAATATATGTATCGAGTCATTGTATTCGCTCGTGCGAAACATTTCGTTCACGCCCGCACACATCTGTAATATTGCTGCTGCTGCTGTCTTGATACTCGCCTGCCGCGTATGACGGATATGAGAGGCTTTGCCGTACATATTTACTCTAATACGATGTGCGCGTTGACGATAGCGACGAGATTGCATTCGATGCATTCTTACTCGACCTTACCTCATCGCGAATACCTTCCCAATGTTTCTCTATCGAACAGGCGAGAACAGACGAACCCCTTCCCCACACAAACTTGACATACTTTTATGTTCTTATATATATATACTAGCTGCGGGTACCCGCTGCGCTGGGTAAAATCGTGCTACTAATTCATACTACTATACTAATAATGGGACACAGTAGGAACATTGGGTAAACATCGAC